TAGCTTTCAAGTTTTTAATTTAGACCCAATTATTTCTGAAAAAAAAAATTATACTTTGAAATTTTTATCAAAAGAAAAGAAATTCAACTGAGAAAGTCACACAGTAGTTATGGGGTCAAATTATGATATGATCTGTCAGTCAAAATATATTAAAAAGTCCTTACTGAAATGCAAAATCTTCAAGTTATTGTTAAGAATTTAAACCATGCAAAAAACTCAAAAATGGCTATGTGATGGAGGTAGAGAACATGCAGGCAGCATACCTCTTCCTCTTTGTTTCTTGGCTTCCCTCCTCTTGAAGAGCTGGGCCTGCCTCCATACATAGCTGCCAGGTTTTGCAGGATTCCCTGTTTATCATTTAATGCACTAAGTTTAAGAATGACTAAAGCTACATCATCATCTTACCTAGGAATATACTGGTGTCATTTTAACTCTTTTGGTACTGATCATTATTTGTAAATGAACTTTGAAAACAAATTCTAGCATTTCCCTTTATCATTTTAATAAATGAAAACAGAGGACGCAAGTAAACCCAAAATACAACTATTTAGGACATAGAGAAGCGATGGAAGTTTTAAAAAATTAGGCATTTAAGGAAAAAAATTTCTTAAAACCACTTCAGTTGTTAGCTAAATATCTGGGATTTTTTTCTCTACCAAGTTGCTAAAATTTTGTTGACTCTATCATCAACATGTGCAGTTCTTTGAAGGCCACCTGAAGACAGGTATAAAGTAGCAAAGTGTTTTATTTATTTGATCTGCTTACTCTCAGCTGAAGCTGAACGAGGCAGAGTTCTGTCTTATTTCAACTCTAATATTGTAAAGGGAGCTCTGGTAGCAAATTCCACAGAGTTTCACTGCTAACTCAAAGGTATCATTTCTTTGGAAGATGGAATCCACCAGCAGCTACCAAGGAGAAAGGTGAGTAATCTCTTCCAGTGTACTTCACAGCTTTGGAAACCCACTGGAGGTTCAGCTGTGAGTTAATTCCAACTTATTTTCAACCCTCCTTTTTGGTGATTAGTTAATTCTGTAGATGAGTTAATGACATGTTTTCTAAATTTTTTGTACTTTTCATTGGTGATTAGTTTCACTCTTTAAAGTATGTTGTTGTTGTGTAGCTTTAAGTTGAAACTGACCCCCAGCTGACCCTCCAGTGAGTTTTCAGTGTAATCATATAGGGCATGGTGGAGCATGCCTATAGTCCCACCTACTCAGAAGGCTGAGGCTGGAGGATTACTTGAGTCCAGGAGTTCTGGGCTGTCGTGTGTTATGCTGAGAGAGGGTGTCCACACTAAGTTCAGCATCAATACGGTGATATCCGGGAGTGGAGGACCACAAGGTTGCCTAACGAGGGGTGAACTGGCCCAGGTCAGATACAGAGCAGGTATAAAATACTTATGCTGATTAGAGTCAATCACACAGGAGGATACTGCCTGTCCTCTTGCAGAGTAGCAGGTAGATTTGAACCGCAAGACTTTGGGAGTGCAGGACAGGTTCTTACCACTAGGCCACCAGAGCTCTCTTTATAAAATACACAGTATAAGATACAGTACTTCTAATGCATAATACTAAAGCACTGTCAAGTGTTTGTAGGCTCAAGAAGGTTATACTATAACTAAAGGAGAAAGTATGTTAGAAAAACTTCCGTCAAGCATGGGTTAGAGTTACTGGCCATGCATTCAATATTAAGGAATAAATATACATGTGAATGATCTATACAATCAGGTTATCCACTGCCTAAACAACATGCTTCTGGAAAGTCTATTAACTTTGATAAGTTATGATGGTTATAAACAATTCAGGCTTTTTGTTCATAGGGTCGCGATGAGTCGTGTTCAAATTGACGGTAATCAACAACAACATTATTCTTAGAATGTCTAAGTTTTATCATTTCAAATGTCTTTCCTAGTCAATGATTTACATATATTTGGTGCTGAAGTACTTATTAAGGAGAAAGGACCAGGATGGGATACAAGTCACATCATACTAGAGGCTTATATAAGTTTAAGG